TTTTGGGCTTCTGGCTACCGGGAATGGACCTGCTGGGACCCTGAACCTTGACCGTGGTCGCATGCTTCACACGGTTCCATGCAAAGATGCACCTGCGACTGCGAGTTGTTTACCTGGCTTTGTAGTATTTCCCGGCGGCGACGTACTCGCGCACGGTGGCCGGTGGGTGCATCGCGCGCACCAACCACCGCCCAATCCACGCGCCCGCTCGTGAACTCCAGCGCCGCCTGTTCCGTCTGAAACTCTGAAGACATGTATGATGCGCCAGTCGGCTCGGCGGCAAGCATACCTGCAACCGGTGTTAGGGTTACCGACTCTTAGTTTATCCTAACTAGCAAACATATGCCTTGCAACGGGAGAACAATTTATTACCATAAGCAGAGACAGTTTTCATACTCACCGTGTTACAAATATAAAGTTGCTAAAATTCTTTTTAACTAACTTTCCACATTCAATAGCAAGTTGTTTCTTTTTTCCGTTTTTTTTTTCGTCACGTGTGAGAGTGTAACAAACTGGTCTGTTTTTTTTTTATTTTTCTGTGATTTTTTTTATGTTTTTTAGAATTATCAACTGGTTTAAAAGAAAAGAAAGGAAAAGAGCTACTGTGTGGCTGAGCCATAGGTTTCAGCCCAGCCTGTGGCCGAATCCGAGGCCCACCACAACATGCCCAAGTGAAAAAATTAAAAATAAAAAAGAAAGTTTTGTGTTAGGAGCCCTAAATTAGTTTCTAAAACCGTTTAAGTCATTCCGCTAGTTCTTTGTTTATGGTATTTTTTGCATCTAGAACCTGTTATTTCTTTCTAATTCCTCAATCCCTCGTCCTTCTTCCGTATTGAACGGGACTTTGAAAAGAAAAGAGAATTACCGACAAAAGAAAAAATAGAATCTGAACAGAGATCAGAGTTGGCTTCCGTAGTGAACAGGACTTTGAAAAGAGAAGATGATTACCGACAAAAGAAAAAACAGAATGCGAATAGAGATCAGACTTGGATGAAAAAAATTATGCCAGAAATTTTCTCTCTTGAGACTATCTCCGACAGTACGGACCTAAATAGGAGACACATTTGCTGATTTGGGTCACGCTGTGGAAAAGGGTCACGGACCTAAATGTTGTATTTTCCAACAGTGAACCCAAAAGTCACGGCAACAGCATTTTGGGGGGCGTGACCAGAGCCAAACGCAGCATGCGGCGCGATGCAGATTTGCTTTCTCCATTGCGTCCCACCCAAAATGGGTCCATCGTTTGCGTTGTCTGTTGGACCGTGTTTTTTTCCGATAAAGCGACGTGGAGTAGGCATTTTAGGTTTGGGTGCCGTGATGCTTCGGCTGTTGGAGACAGTCTTATTACTAGGTATAGATACGCCTCACATGTATGGTATTCTCAAAAAGAATATATGATAGATAGAGGAGTTATATCGCAGATGTTTTGATTTCTATCTCTTTCATGTGACATCTGTACTAACTTATATCCGATCATTGAAGATATTTTTAGAGATTTTTCTCACGGTGGTAATGTTGGGAAGTAGACGTCGTCTGTTGGTGGACCCCGACATCCAGAAGGCTATCCTATCTGTTCCTATCCGCTCCGCTCTGGTCATTGTAGTCTATAAAAAAACTCACGTATAGCCGCGACTGCTCTCCGCCGCTCCTCCGCATGCCTTCCTCTCCACAACCGCCGCGCCCGCACCACCGTGGCGTGCTCCCCATGATCGCCTGACACCGCTACCGCCTCGCTTGCTGGAGGCCGCACCCACTCGATCGCCATCTGTCGCCTCCACCATGAAGCGCTCACGGGGGCACCGTCGACGCGCCTATCTATCATCGGGGAAAGCAGACGCTTCTATCATCGGGGCAGCGATCGCTGTCCGCTGCTATCCACATTCTCCACCGCGACCGAACAGCTGAATCCCGCTGTGCAATGCTTCGTCCGGCCGCCTGCCAAGTTTTGTTGAAAGCGCATGTTGTAAGCGTATGTTTTAAAGTGTTTTAGATATTTCAGAGGTATGTTGCAATGGATGTTGCAAAAGTAGATGGATGTTGCAAAAGTAGATAGGGATGTTGCATATGTTGCAAAGGTCTGTTACCAATGTTTCATCTGTGTTTTCTGTTGTATGTTGAAAGTGTGTTTATCTGAATGTTGCATATGTTTTATACATATGTTGCAAGTGTTTTATCTGGATGTTGCGTATGTTTGCAATAGTTTTTAAGTGTTTTTAGGTGTTTTTTCCAAGTGTTTTAGAAACATGTTTCAAGTGTTTCATCTGTCTTTTTTTGTATGTTGCAAATGTTGTATCTGGATGTTTTAAAAGTAGATCGAGCGGGTGCAGCGGATGTCCTTCTGGTCGGTGTGGATTAGATTTCGGCGGTGTTTCTCGACTCCATGGTAGTTAGTGGCGGCTGGCAGACCACACCCTGTAACAATGGTCAGCGGTGGCTTGAGGCAGCTCTCGGACGGGTGCCTCCCTCGGCGCGGGCCCCGTGTGGGCGCGTGAAATGGCGTGGAAAGCGGACTGCACGCGAGGGTGTCCGAACAACCCGTCCGTTCCGACGTCCGGGTGCTGGTAGTGCCGATTGCCGTGTTTTCATGTGATATCAATTTGATTTCTGCGAAACTTCTATATGATTAATTAAAAATCCTGTTTTCCAAAACAGATTTGAATAGTTCATTTTTTTGACCTCGCATTGTTCTCTCTCTGTTCGCTGATGCATATGTTTGGTGAACTACTCTTATTTCCTTTTTTTTTCTTTTCTCGTTCCAAATAGACTGTCACGTGCGGTGTTCCCCCGGTTCTCAATGTTTTTCATCAAAATTAAACATGTGCACTAGTGGATCCATGGACCTTTGTGCCCTTCAGTTATTATTAAGGAGTACGCAAGAACGGAAATAGTAAATATGTATAGAAGTTCCAAAACAACTTGTACTTGGAAATCATAAGGAGTATTTTGAATTCGTAGAATATCCAGCTCGGGCAATATGGTTTTCCAGCAGGAGAACAAAAATATGATGTTGTCTTCTTCTCTTTTTAATTAACTAGAACGATAGTCAACGCGTTACCACGAGAACCACAAATGATTTAAAATAAAATTAGACTGTTTTATACTTATTTATTTATGTAAAGCGATAAATTATTATAAATAAATGGTTATTAGATGGTATGACACGTTAATGTAGACAACTTAAATCTGTATGGGATGATGTGAATAGCTTAAAGAGATAACTATCGTAATTGCATATGCTAATGGGCTTCTAATGTGGATAGCTTGCACGAAGAGATAGACACACTAGTGGACATAAATAGCATGAATGAATGAAATAATTATTATAATTACACGTGCTAGTGGGCTGCTAATGTGGATAGCTTGTATGAAGACATAGACACACTAGTGTTTTTTTATAAATATAAGATATGTACATATAGATTTGATTATTTGACCTATCAAAAAGAAATGATAAAACACAACAAATGCCATTTATATTTAGTGAGACCCTCTATAGATGACAGACGCACAGGAGAATTCTCTTAAGTTAGCTACCTAATCATCCCTATTTAAAGGCTATATACATATCTGTACAAAATCCAAAAACCAGTCAACCCTATAAACAATCATCCGAAGAAGAAACCACAGAAAGAATCACCTCCTATGCGGCACTTTCATCATCAGCATTCAGCAACGCCGGCGTCACCGTCACCACCGTCTCGTGCGACGCGCGGGGAGTAGGATTTTCCAAGTGCGTAAATTTTAGGATGAAAGATTAAAAATTGTCAAAGATTTTTTCTCATCTTACCAAAAACTAAGGATTAAAAAGGAAAATATAGTACTTTTGGAGATGCTCTAAGAATAGAAATAATAAAGACGTATAGAAGTTCCAAAACAACTTGTACTCGGAATCCTATGGAGTATTTTGAATTCTTAAAATACCTAGGTCGGGCTAGAATATGATGTTGTCTTCTTCTCTTTTTTAGTTAACTACTAGAAGGATAGTCAATGCGTTACCGCAAGAACAACAAATAATTTAAAATAAAATTAGACTATTTATAGGAAGTGATAAATTATTATTAAATAAATGATTGAATGGTGTGACATGTTAACCTAGACAACTACATCTGTACATGCTAGTGGATGATGGGAATAGCTTAAATAAAAATAAAAATATCATAATTGCACGTGTTAATGAGTTATTAATGTGGATATATTTTGCATGAAGAGATAGACATACTAGTAGGGGATATAAATAGTTTGATTGAAGAAATAATTATTATAATTGTACGTGCTATTGGCTGCTAATGTCGATAGCTTGAACGAAGAGATAGACATACTAGTGTTTTTTTTTGCAAATATAAGATATGTAGATATGGATTTGATTCTTTGTCCTACCAAAAAGAAATGATAAAACACAACAAATGCCAGTTATATTTAGTGAGACCCTCTATAGATGACAGACGCACAAGAGAATTCGCTTAAGTTAGCTACCTAATCACCCATCTATTTAAAGAGCTATATACATATGTGAATTTTGGATTAACGGATGATTTAAGTCAACCCCATAAATAATAAATTGAAACAAGCTGAAATAAGCGGGAAGCAGTACAGCCGAACACGGTGAAATATACATATCAGTACAAAATCCAAAAACCAGTCAACCCCATAAACAATCATCCGAAAATCACCTCCTATGCGGCCGCCATTTCATCATCAGCAACGCCAGCGTCACGGGCACCCACCCTCTCGCGGACTGCGGACAGCAGAAACCATCACATCAAACCGGAAACCACCCTTCTCTCCAGAACTCGAGACCATTCTCCCCTTTCCCCCTCCACGCTTCGCCCCTCGCCGACTATTTTAAACCCACGCTTCTTTTAGTTCTTCCCCGTCGGCTTCCAGAGAGGAAACCATTCTTTTTGACCCCGCGGGAGATCCACGCATCCACAGCCGAGCAGTGGAGCTCGATCGCGAGGCTTCTAGAATCTAGAGAGTCGGGGAGAGTTCTAAGTTCTCCAATGGCGTCGTCCCACATCATCCTGCCCAAGGAGGAGGAGGAGGCGGCGGCGGCGGTGGCGGAGGCCGGGTTGGGCGTGGCGGTGGAGGCGGACCACGACTCCCCGGCGCAGCGGCCGTACCAGGAGCAGGCGCCCGGGAAGGCGGCGCTGCCGTTCTCGGCAACGTGCGTCCGGATCTCCCGCGACTCGTACCCGAACCTCCGCGCGCTGCGGAACGCGTCCACCATGACACTCCACGATGACGACGCCGCCTTTGTCAAGATCGAGGAGGGCGACTACGGATACGTGCTCGACGACGTCCCGCACCTCACCGACTACCTCCCGGACATCCCCGTGAGCGCCGCAACCCCCCTCCCGTGCTCTCTGGTTGCCCCGTTGCCCGATCTGTTGTTCCTCGGTGAAAAATGCTAGTAATACTATGAATTACAATGATGGAATTGGGGATCGTTTTGGCTCGAAGATGTCGATTAAGAGTCAGCTTCGGTACCATTTTAAAAAAGTCGTGAAGTATCTGTGTTAAGGGGCGGTGGTTTTATTTGAGGATGTTTGGGGATTGGTCGAGGCGCCAGCTGTAGTTTTAAATAATTCTATGATGTGGCAGTTTCGTGACTCTTGTCAGGCGTCAGCGTGCAGACAGCTCGTTAGCTGGTGTACCACTATGATCCAACAAAAATGTAATATTACTCGTCTCCTATCGAAATTGAGACTGTCGTGTGGATCTCATGTCTCCTTGCGTCTATGACTTTGTGTTTTTGTTATTAGGTTCTTTTGTTAGATTTCTTGTTTTTATGCTTCTAGAAGGAATTGCTTGTACTAGTCGGCAACCTGTCGAATTACTTATATTAGTTGGCAACCTGTCCTTGCTGATGTCAATCATCTACGTGTCAAATTCACAAGAAACATGGCATTTCACCTGTTTACTTGTCTATTTTTGGTTTAAGTTCAAGTTAAAATGAAGTCGTTTTCGAGGTGACATCATAAGGGTTAATCTAATAGTCTCCCTGTTTAATTTTCATGGCAGACTTTTCCTAATCCTTTGCAAGATCATCCAGCGTATTCAACTGTCAAGTGAGGATTTCTTTCTATTTGACTTTTCTGCTTCTTTCTGATAACCTCTAATCATTCTAGTTGTGTAATCTGTCAAACTGAACTTTCTATGCACACATTCACCAGGCAATATTTTGTCAATGCAGATGATACAGTCCCTGAAAAGGTAAAATAATATCAGATGTGATTGTTCCAAATGTCAATGTTGTTTGTTTGAGTGGTGATTGGTGAAATGACATGTTCTTTGTGCTACTACAGGTGGTTGTTCAGAAGAACAGTCCGCGAGGAGTTCACTTCCGTCGTGCTGGACCTCGTCAGAGGGTATGACACCTTTGACGCAGTTATACACCTATACCATTTGTGAGCTGTGCATTATTTTCATATAGTATAACATAACATAAATATTCAATCCTCAGGTGTATTTTGAGTCAGAAGAAGTGAAAGCTTGCATTGTAACCTGTGGAGGCCTTTGCCCTGGGCTCAATACTGTCATCAGAGAGTTGGTGTGTGGCTTGTCCCACATGTACACCGTTAGCAATGTCTTTGGAATACAGGTTTGATTCGTTCCAGATTACCTATATCGATGCTGGAGGATATAATGCGCTACTATTCTTTCCGCACAGTCAACTGGTCCTTTCTTTCTTTTTGAAGGAAAAAGATGTTGAGTCTTGATATTTGGCATGTAAAACTCTTGCAATAAATAAATATGAATTTTGCAAATTTAAAGTCAGTTAAGAATTCATTTTGCTTGCATTGTGATGAAATAGTTGCAGGTTCTGGAATCTTCAGATTTTATTGTCTGATGTAGGAGCACAATTTTTGTGATGCGCATTACCAATTATTACGAACTTTATGCCAGCTAGTGGTTTTGCCATGACAATGTATGCATCATGATTGCAGTGAATCAGTGCAATCAAATTTCAATCCTATTTGTAGTCTATCCATGAAACGTCATGTAACATGCTGTAAGCAATTTTGCAGAATGGGTACAAGGGGTTCTATTCGAGCAATTATCTTCCCATGACACCAAAGAGTGTGAATGATATCCACAAACGAGGTGGTACAGTTCTTGGAACATCACGGGGTGGCCATGATACCAAAAAGATCGTTGACAACATTCAAGATCGTGGAATTAATCAGGTATGTGCTTGCTGATTAGTGTTTCTTTGCATAACCCTTATTTTGGAGGCTGAGTAAATGTTCTTCTTTACCACATCTAGGTGTACATTATAGGAGGAGATGGAACTCAGAAGGGTGCATATGAGATTTACAAGGTAATCATTCTCATGAGTATGCCTTTCATACGTGCTTCAGAACTTCAGATACTGTCAAACCATGCCATCTGCGCATTTCTGTGATGTCTGTTCAAGTAAACTCAAGCAGTAGGGATTTTGAATGTGCTCAATTTATGTATATGTATAGTTAAATGTTTTTATAGACAAATAGTGCGAAGAATTGTAATCCAGAAGTTAGTTTTTTATTATGCTCTATTTTAAAATTACTGCAGGAAATTCGGAGACGTGGTCTACAAGTAGCTGTTGCTGGTATTCCCAAGACTATTGATAATGATATAGCGGTAATTTTTGGCTACTTGTTCTTTTTTTCAGCTTGCATAGATGCTTTTGCTGCATACCTCTTGATTTGAAAGACTAGTGCAGAGACCTGGAGTATGCTGATTATTTGTATATACATTTTTAGGTTATAGACAAGTCATTTGGTTTTGATACTGCTGTAGAAGAAGCCCAGCGTGCCATCAATGCAGCTCATGTGGAAGCTTCAAGTGCTGAAAATGGGATAGGGTTAGTGAAGCTTATGGGTCGCTATAGTGGTTAGTTTTTCTGCCTACAAACTGAAGAATGTTCACCCTTTGTCAAAGCGTAGTAGTTTTTTTTTTTTTTTTTTTTGCGTTTTAACTCTTTCATCGTGTTGTCCTTACTGTGATGCTTCCCTTATGATGCAGGGTTTATTGCCATGTATGCTACTCTTGCAAGCAGAGATGTGGTGAGTTAACAGCTTCTATTTATGCCTCCACTAATCCAGTTAATATTCTCTAGTTTCTTCAAGTGTCCTATTTTACATATTTGGCCCTGTTGCCCTTTTGGATTCTGTCACTTTGTAAATATAACCACTTAATATTCATAATCTTCTTTGAAGATGGAGCTAATTATATATATATTCACGTCCATCTTATGTAGGACTGCTGCTTGATTCCCGAGTCGCCCTTTTATTTGGAAGGGGAGGGTGGACTATTAGAGTATATAGATAGGAGGTTGAAGGAGAACAACCACATGGTTATTGTTGTGGCGGAGGGAGCTGGACAGGATCTTATTGCTCAAAGTATACCGGCTGCAGATCAGCAAGATGCATCTGGAAATAAGCTGCTTCTTGATGTTGGTCTCTGGTTGACTCACAAGATTAAGGTACATTCTTATTAGCCCATTTTCATCACTGTACTCCATCTTGATTCCACCTTTTGTAACTATCGTTGCTTGGAATGACAGTTTGACATGCACTTTGTGCGCGTCTTTCTAAGCCCTTGTTTAGTTGTAGGAATTTGGATTTTGGGGCTACTGTAGCACGTTCGTTTTTATTTGGCAAATAGTGTTCAAACATGGACTAATTAGGCTCAAAACGTTCGTCTCGTAATTTCCCACCAAACTGTGCAATTAGTTTATCTTTTCGTCTACATTTAATGCTCCATGCACGGGCCGCAAACATTCGATGTGACAGGTACTGTAGCAACTTTTTGGAAATTGGGGTGGAACTAAACACGCCGTAATTTTCACTAAACCTACAAGAATGTACACATGGCTGTGACATGTCTTGGGTTTGAAACAAGTCTACCGTAGGCAAGTAAAAATGAAACTACTGATAGGTTTAGCAACTTATTGCCCAAGGAAAAAAATGTGTGTGACTTTGTATTGGGTTTGAAACGAGTCACTGATTAGTGTTTCTGTGGTGTTGCTCCAATGTTTCTCTGAACAATTCTTTGCTGTTGCATTATTGCTTTGTAGGATTATTGCAAGAGCAAGAAGATGGAGATGACTATTAAATACATAGGTAATCATCTTCTGTTTACTTCGTCAGTACAGTGTTAGTTTGTAATTTATAGCGTGTCAAGGAATCTGACGAAGTGCCTGCCCTTTTTTTATGTAGATCCAACTTACATGATCCGTGCTATTCCAAGCAATGCATCAGACAATGTCTATTGCACACTGCTCGCACATAGTGCCATTCATGGTGCAATGGCAGGATACAGCTTTACAGTCGGAATGGTTAATGGCAGGCATGCATATATACCATTTCATGTGAGTATAACCTTCTGCATCCCTTTCATAAACAGGGATAACATTAGTGTGCCCCTTTCTGCCGGTTTTTTCATTCTCAGAACATGCGGGAGAGCTGTATATCATTTCATTGGGAAGAAAGGGAAATACAAGGGAAAGGGAGCAAGCTCCCAAACCCCGACAAACCCTTATAACACACCATTTAATAGAAATTACAAGGTTTCACCACGCACACAAACATGCGACCAGAAGTACCCAAGGACAGTAGCTACATATCATCCTTAGATGCCCGAACTTTTCGGTACATTTTGACAATCTTGCTCGCTGCATACCCAAAAAGAAATGAATTCAACTCAGTGTAGTGCTGGAACAAGTCTTATGCTCGATTGAACAAGCACATAAGGAATCTACACTAACCAGTAGAAATCACATTGCACTGCACTAGGTTTGAATTTGCAGAGCACTTTGGTAGACATTGAAGCTTAACTAAAATTTCTTTTGTATATTTGCTTCCAAGAGAGCTGCGATATGTCTTCTGGCAGGAAGAGAGTTGCTTCCATATGGGACAGACAAAATTCTTCCCTGTCTCTCGTAATGTTTCTTTTGCAATCTACATGACTAAATTTATTCTGACCACAGAGGGTAACATCTACAAGGAACAAGGTGAGGATAACTGACAGGATGTGGGCGAGGTTGCTGTCTTCAACCAACCAGCCGAGTTTCCTGAGCCAGAAGGACATCGACGCTGCCAGAGAAGCCGATAAGGTGGCCAACCGCGTGAAGAGCGGAGAGGATGCGAAGAACCAATCTGCACCAGTGTTGGCAAATGGTGAGAAATAGTATGCTTTTGACGGTTCTTTGTTGTGTACAGTAGCTGCTGCAAACTGGCTGAGGTCAGTAGGCCAAAACTGCGAATTTGACGAGTTTTGCTTCCATTTGCATCCGAACAGAGTTCACGTAATAAAAGCTTCATAGTGTGTATTTGCGTTAGTAAACATATACTAGTGCTCTGCAGTTTGCTTGTGTTGGTCGTATGTTATGTGCCGGACAGCCGGCCTCCATCCGCTGCCGTTGCGGTTCATCTGAAGCAAGGCAGTGGCCACAACAGATACTCTGGTGTGAGCGGCAGCTCTTCTTCTACTAGAAAGTTTCCTGTGACCGTGTCTCCGGCGTGACGATATCACGAGACGAGAGGTTACTTTCCGCTGCTCAATGTATCGTCCTGTGTCCCACCAAACTAGCCGTCGATCGTCCATGGACCATGATCCTCTTTGTTCATGTTGGGCTCACCTCAAGTTGTGTGATTGTGTCTTACTTTCGTCCGAGTGCTCTGCACGTCGGTGGTTGCGCTTGGTCAGCAGGTTCCCATGCTCAGTTCTTCCCTGATGGCCTACGTTTTTGCATGGGAAGAAGGCACCGACGGCGCCGAAGCGCAACCCACGGCGCTGGCACTACCGCAGCAGCCGGCGACCGCGGTTCCTGTGCCACAACCTGCAAGACTGGACGTCGACAACACGAGGGCACCTGAATCCGTCAATGCAGACGACGCCGGTGCAGCTGCACGTGATCAGGAGGAGCAGGCGAACGAAGAAGCAGAAACCACGGAGACAGACGTTGCAGGTGGAACCGTGACGCAGGCGGAGGTGAAGCCGACGCCCGGAACAAACGCCTCGTGGTCGTGGCCCGCGACACCACCTGAGACGCCAGAGCGCGACGACGTGGCGCCGGCGCCTCGAACCAAACACGTACAGGCGCCCGAGACGGAGCCTGACATCGACACCGCGAAGCCCGAAGGCTGCACCACGCCGCCGTCGCCGCCGCCGGTGCACGATTCGGAGGGGTCCGACACGCAGAGCGCCGACGGCCGCGGGAGCCCAATGCACGGGATGCAGGCGGGCGCGAGCGTGAAGCGGGACGTGGCTGCCTCCAAGTCGAGGCTGTTCGCGTTCCGGTCCTTCACGCGGGACAAGAAGGTGATCAAGTCCGCCGGGGCCGCAGACACGGCATCTCCAGATAGACAGAAGGCGGGGGAGGCGGCCGCGGAGAACAAGGAGAAGGGCAAGGAGAGGCGGAAGAGGTTCTGGAAGTGATCGAGGTGGCGTGCTAGTTTTTGCCATGCACGTCGCGCTGGGCTCGGGCACGTCACACAACGATGGCTGTAGAATGCATTGTGGCGGTGCAGTTTGACCTTTTGTTTAGCACCATGTAAGTATCATGATGATATAGGTATATAACATGAATTTGTTGATTATCTTTTCATGTAATAATTTGTCAACAGTTGAAGTTACGAGCACGACGACGTTGGTGCCAGATTGTTGTATAGGAATAGCTTTTATCCTTTTGGACATCATTTTCTTTTCATTCTCACAACATCGTCCGGAAAACGTTTCCAAAATTAGTTTGATTGCAGTACGTTGATGAAAGAAATAGGTTAATCCCATAGCCTGCCATTTAAATTCTAGTGTAAGAACAGAAATGCCCTGCAATTTAAAATCTAGAGTAGAAATCAGAAATGGTTACATCCCACCAATCTCTAGGGGTTCTATGAAAAGACTGAATATCAGACCATGCTAAGATAGGTTTATGTTTATCATTTCATTATACGATTCAAATTCTGCAATATTCCTAGTATTTATCATGTTGAAGGTTCAGCGCTTTTGTAACTGGTTGCCAATTTCGGCGGCACACTGTACAATAGAGGCAACAAATTACATGACTTACTTGCATTGTTGGGAACTGTGATAATTTTTTTTTGAGACGTTCTATTCTATCAGAGGAACTTTTAGAAGGCTTTATTCACAGTGCACAATTTTTTTTTCTCGAATACACAAGAGCGTTGCGTATCATTGCATTAAGGAGAAAATATAAGTTTTTACAGTATTCCGTCACAAGGCCGGCTTTAGGAATGGAAGTTTACATTGAGAACTCGGTGAGTAGCAGCTACCCTCCCGACGCTAAACTCCTTAGATGATTGGAGCCCGCTTGAGCTCACTGATTAGCCTCCGCCTTAATGATTAGCACAGGAAATCCGGCACCGTTGTTGTTGTTTCTCTGAAGCATCGGGCGTTCCTCTCCTTCCAGAGCTGCCAGGAGACCAGCACGAAGAGCGAGTCGAAACCCTTCTTCTGATGGCCGTGCCAGCTCCGACGAAGTCGCCTCCACCAAGCAATGACTGATTGCGCCGAAGGCGGTAGCGGGCAGCCTAGTGTTAGATTGATCTCCTAACCAATAAGCCCAACAGCCTATTGGGCCTTGGTCACGCGCCCTGATCGGGGGCGCCCAACCCTACATGGTTGGTGGGCCCCCGTCGCACTGCGCTATATAAAGAGGTGAGGGGCCGGCGGCTCAAAGCACGAGGTTCGCCGTGAGCCGCAAACCCCACCGACAAACCCTAGACCGATCTAAGAGGGCGCGCAGCCTGACGACGGAAGCTCTACCGACCTTCACCGTCGTCATCGCCACGCCACGCCGTCCGTCTGCACCGTACATCGACGTCTGCAGGTAACCTCTCTACTCCACCGTCATTTGCCGTGTCTTGCCTCCATCAACGAACCGGCGATGGCCAGCTCAACCGCGACTTCCTCAGAAGGCTCGGGTTCAACACGGCACCTCTACCCTATCTCCCTCTCGTGTAGTGTTCTAGGTCTAGATGTGCATGTGCTTTACGGATCCAAGTGTTCACCGGCCTAGATCTACCCTAGTCGATCTACAGAATAACAACAATGGTACCAGAGCCTTTCTAGCGGTAGATCGGGTTCGGGAAAAGAAAAGAAAAGTTACCCGAGAAGAAATCAAATCGGGGGAAAAGCTATCCAAACCCTAACCCTAATCCAGGAAGGGGAAGAAAGGGAAGAGGGTAGCCTACCTCGCTTATGTGGCAGATCGCAGCCACGCGGTAGCGTGGGGGAAAAAAGATAGGCCGATCGGGGGCATAGCTCGCCGGGATCCGGCGACCGCTCGGTGACTGACTGAGAAAAAGAAAGAACTGATTTCAAATCGGGGAAAAAGTAAACAGTGGCCATCCCAACCCTAACCCTAACCCTAACCCTAATCGGTAAATCGGGCCAAAATCCGAATCAAAGAAACCGAAAGGGGAAAGAAAAGGATGAAGAGGGGAACCTACCCGGTCCTCCCGACACCGCCGTCGCGCGGAAAGCTACCACCGTGCGGGTGGTGGTCACCGCCGCCATGGTTGGCATCGCTGACAGAGGCCGGCTCGGCCGTGGCTCGGGGCACGGCGGTCAAAGCCGCTGACGGCGGCGCGGCGCGCCATGCCATGGGCGGCGCGCGACCGGCGAGGGGCTTGGCACGTGTCGTCCCTCTTCTTCTCGGTGACGAGGTGGCGCGTGCGTTCTTCGTATTTACTAAGCGTCGCCGTGGGAGAGAGAGGAGAAAGAGGAAATGCAGCTAGGGTTCGTGGAGAGGCGGCGGCGGGGTTTTGTTTTTGGGCGAGACGGCGGACAGCCGTCTCGATCCGATCTAGCGATCGAGATTCGCCGGATCGGCTTTAGGCCCAAAGCGGCAAACGGTTTCATGCCCAGCCCGAGTTGCGGCACTGGCGCGAGAGAGAGAGCAGCGTCAGCGCCGAAAGTAGGCCGTGGGTCGCATGGCTGTGGTCTGCTACACTTCTGGGCAGCAGCGATGTCTCCGGGTTGGGCGAAATGGCCTAATGAATAGAAACAGCTCATGTTTTCTTTTTATTTTTCCAGAAATATATATATTTGATGAATTTCAATTAGAAGTTGATGCAAATCTTTGTGCAATTTTTGTCCAACGACAATTTTGTTCAGAGAACAGTGCAATATTTAAGAGTTTCTGGAAAAATAATTATGGGCATATTTAAATTTTCCGCTGCGTATTTAAAGTAATTATGGACTTTTAATTAAATTCGAACCAACGGGAGAATTTGATTTTAAGAGCCAAGAGAGAAAATATGAGTTGATTATGATATTGTTATTTTCTAACCAACGTTGTTAATAGCAATATTATAATTTTAATGATTATGCATTATTTCTATTTCTGCCCAACGGTGATGTAGATTTAATGTATAAAATAATTGTATGTTTTAATTTTGACCAACGTTAAACTAAGGCATGCAATTATTGTTGTTATTTCTGTTCTCACACTATTTGAATTGTGTTTTCAGGAGGATACAACTTGATGAGTTGTATCAAAGAGATCCCCACTCTAAAAGGTGATAACTATATTGAGTGGAAGAAAAAGATAGACCTGGCTTTTATCCTCGCTGAGGTGGACTGGGTTGTCACCACACCGTGTCCTAGAGAACCTATGGCACCGGTGAGGGAGACATATGAGACTAATGCTGCATGGCAGAACAGAGAGCGGGATTTTGCTCCCGTAAAGATGTCCTATGACCTTGAGCATAGGAAATTGGTCACTGCCAACAAGAAGTGTTTGGCAGTGATAAAGAACACGATTGAGCCTGCTATTGTGGGCTCAATTCCAGACTGTGACACGGTCACAGAGTACCTAGAAAGAATAAAGAGTCAGTTCACTGGCTCTTCAAAGACATATGCAACCCAGCTGATCAAGCAGCTGGTTACAGAAAGGTACTCTGGTGGCGGCAGTGGCATTAGAGAGCACATACTGAGAATGAGCAATCTGGCATCTAAGCTCAAACCAATGGATTTGGCACTCAAGGATGAGTTTCTTATTCATTTGATTTTTGCTTCTTTGCCCAAAGAATTTGACACCTTTGTTGTTAATTACAACATACAGCCTGAAAAATGGGATTTAGAAAAGCTCATAGCCATGTGTGTGCAGGAGGAGGAAAGAATAAAAGTTTCACAAGGTGGTTCTGTCAACTACCTAAAAGATAAGAAAAAGAACTATAATAACAGTTCTTCCTCCAAGTCATCTGGAAAGGGTCCCATGCAACAGTCTCAGAACAACCAATTCCCAGTGGCTAAAGATCAATGTCTCCACTGTAAGAAGACAGGACATTATAAGAAGAATTGTCCTGATTTCCTAAAGATGATAATGAAAAATAAAGGTGAGAACATCATTACATTTGTAAATGAATCCTTGTATATAAAGTTTTCAAAATCTACTTGGTGGATTGATTCATGTGCAACTATTCATGTTGCTAATTCATTACAGGGATTCCGTTCGATGAGAACTTTGCAAAGAAGCAAAAGTTTCATTAAAGTTGCAAATGGAGTACAAGCAGATGTTGAGGCCGTTGGAGATCTTCTAGAGCTTCCAGATGGCTTCATACTTTTTCTTAGAGATGTTCTTTATGTACCTTCTTTGCAAAGAAACCTGATTAGTGTATCAAAGTTGGACCATGATGGTTATGATTGCCATTTTGGAAATGACAAATGTCAGATATTGTTTAATAATAAATGTGTTGGTCTTGCCTTCCGACAAGACGAGCTTTATTTGTTATCACTTCGTGAAAATGTGAATTCCGTATGTGATGTGAATGAAAATGTATCCTCATCGAACAATGGAAACAGAAAACGAAAGAGAGCTCACGATGCGTTGTCGAAATTATGGCACTGTCGTTTAGGCCATATTTCGAGGGGGAGAATAGAAAGACTAGTTAAAAATAATATTCTTTCTCCATTAGAGCTCTTAGATTTAGAACAATGTAGAGATTGCATAAAAGGAAAGTATGTAAAGAAAATTAAGAAAGATGCCAAACGAAGCGCAGGAATTCTACAGATTATTCACACAGACATATGTGGTCCTTTTCCTGTGAAAAGTGTGGATGGTTATGATTCATTCATAACATTCACAGACGATTACTCTCGTTTTGGCTACATTTATCCAATTAAAGAAAGAACAGAAGCGTTGGATAAATTCAAAATATTTAAAGCAGAAGTTGAAAATCAGCATGATTTAAAGATTAAGATAGTCAGGTCTGACCGTGGGGGAGAGTACTACGGTCAAGATACCCTATATGGATAAGTTCCGGACCTTTTGCAAGGTTCTTACTGGGAGAATGGTATAGTCGCCCAAAGATTCAACACCCAAGGCGAACCTCAGTGAGAATGGAGTAATGAAAGGCGTAACTGCATACTCGATGGATATGGTGCGTAGTATGATAAGTTACTCCACTTTACCG